CTAGAACAGCCAAAACTGCTCTTCAATATTCTATCCACACTCTAAAATGCCCATGCACAGATGTATTCCAAAGCTCACTAAAGAATACTATATTAGAGACTTGGGAAAACAGCTTATAAAATAAATGGGGGGGAGGGCAAATCATTAGGCATTTTAAACTACATAGATATGGGGAAGAAGGGGGGACAAGTCAACATGACTTCAAATAGAGGATGCATTATCTTTAAAGAAAAATGGTCTTATCCATCAAGTTAAAAAAAACCCTGGGGTATCAAGTTTCACTTACAACAGTATCAGTCCTGGGAGAGGAAGGAATTAATCATTTGAAGGTCTCCTATTTGGTATTCCAAAGATACTCTTGGTGACTAGACCTGGTGCCTGTAACTAAAATGCTGTAGCTTTCCTAGACTGACATTCATAACCCTGCAACTGCATCTTATTATTGATACATAATCCTGGTTTAGATGAAGCATTGCTAAATCAGGGTGGGTTCAGTCTTCCCTGCATTTCTTTCTTTTTGTCTCCATCTGGTATTGTTAGTATTGTTTATTTAACTTTGGCACGCAGAGATATGGTAAGAGATATTGGCTAGCTTTTTTCCCTTTGGAAAACAGGCAGTTCTTGCCATATATCCACAGCACAAGTCCACAATTAAGCAACAATTAAGCAATGTGCACTGTGGTGAAGTCATGAAGTATGTTTTCCTGTCTAGAATGTAAAATATAGTTCTACCAGCAGTTTGTACCAAACAGGATTGTTCGTACCTGTAAAATATATAAGTAAATAAATAAATATATGCACACCCCCATCTGTTTCATAGAGAATATTTTTTAAAATATAAAGTAAACCTAATTTTAGATATGTAAATAGATGATGCATCTATATGCACACCTATATAGAAGAGATGATGTAAGAATACTTTTCTCCACTTTCCCAATAACAGACTTTGTAACTACAAAGAATCACAGATATTTGCCTCAATTTTGGCATCCTTATATAGAAACATAAGTAGGCAGCAAAATCAAGACGTAATTAGTTTGTTCTAATCTCATTAGGCCTGTAGGAAATGTTCAATTACTAGTCCTTGCAACAAAGCATGTTGAAGCAAGTCTTTTAAGAACTGATTAAGTACTGCATTAACTTTAGCACATATTTTCTCCACCCTGCCAAAATCTCACTCTTATTTTCAATCTGAACTACCTAACACTCACAGCAATTTTACTTCCAAGTACCTTAAACTAAAGCACTGCAAATAAAGTACTACAGGTGGTTGCACAACCAACACTTATACAAAGAAATTAATTTCTTCTGCCATAAAATGGAAAGCAACCAGGAGACTTTTGCAATGCCACTGCATTGCAGTATCCTTTCTGAATATCTGATTCTCAGTTTCTGATCACAATTTGATTCTTATCCATATCTTCCATATCTCCGAAGTCAGATGCTAATTTTCTTGATTTTGTATTGCAGAGGTTCTACACCACATCTATCTACACTGATAAAGAATTTAGTATTGCATAAATGACAAAACTCTTTTCATCAAGAAACCACTTAACAATGCTACCAGTTTTCTGAATAGTCACCAAGATCCCTGAGTCAACTTCTTTCTTTCTCAGCTTCATATTAATGTAAATACTTGCACTGTGAAAACTTTCAAAACTTTCCCTGAAGCTGTGCATAAGAAAGGTGACTAGCATACATAGACACAAGTAGGATTTACTCAGTTATGTTACAGCTATTTACTGTGTGTTTATATATCTCCATATTTTCTATGCTAGTTTTTTAATTACATGGATTCTTGGATACTACCAGGCAGTGCTACACACCAATACTTGATATGGTATTTGTGTAAAGCACACTAGCGTGGTTGTACATGAATTTTTACCTCTTAAGCCATTATGACACCGATAGAAACTGAATAGTGCAAATAAGGATCAATAAAAATTTGAATCTCAAGTGACTACTTCATCTTCAGAATGTTTCTGAAAATTGTCAGAATTTCCACCCTCCTTTGGACTAGATTATCTCAGCAACTTTTCAACTCCAGCAATACAATGTAAGAAATGTCTTAGATTTAGAAATGGCCTAGGTTTTACTGCAGAGTGAAGTCTAAGAAAACTAATAGGATGTACAAGTAAAAAGATTCCTGATCCCTCTTATTTTCTTTTCCCTAGAAGAATATTTCACGTTCCCTTAAGTTCAAAGAGGACACATCACCTGAACAGACATTTTGAACTTAAACTCAGGATGGTTAATCATCCTATTGATTAAATATTTACTTAGTTTAGGACAGATAATAGTCTAAATCTTCCAGATAATTGTTCTGGAACTTATTTTAACAAACTGAATTTTGCTATTGCTCTTATTCTGCTTATTCTCACTAATGAGAACAAAATCTGTTCAATACGTTTCTTATAGAAAAATGCACAATTAATTACAAAATTTCAGCACTCACTTGAAAGCAGTCTTCTGCCTCTTCAGCATCATTTTGGGAAGGTGGATAATCTACAGATAAAGAAGAAAAAAAGCAAAGTATACAAGGTTATTTTCTTTTTATTCACTGTTTAATACTTCCAGTAGTCCACATCATCTTTCAATATCCAGCTATGATGATAAAATATTGTTGTTTACTTTTTTAACCTATAGATCATTGTAGTTCAAGTTGATCCAGTAAGCACCATTCAGTTCTACACTGTATTTTATACAGCGAGTATTTCTAGCCATACTCCTCTCTCTTATTCACACCTTTCTTGTAAAAGCATTTTTGAAGTGTCATCAGCAGTCAGAAGCAAGGGAGTATATTCCTCTTAATGTAGCATTTTGAAAATTAAAGACAAATACATTTGGTTGGCATGAATGCACCCAGAGCTGTATTTTGCTTATAAATCAGCAGAAATTGGAATTGTTAGACCCTAAGAGAGAAAAGGACTCTCATGTTCTCTAATTATTTCTCTTGCAGGGATATGGATGATATCAATGCAATTCAAAAGAAGTCATTCCAGTATGTCAAAAAGCATTTCCCTTCAGAGAAGTGTTTCTCCCTTTGTTAATAGGATAACACACATTAAATCCCTAAATTTACAGCACATCACAGCAAAGAATATTTTATCTAAATTTCTCCCTGTGAGTTACTTATTACAAGCCTGAAAGAGATGCTCTTTCAGTTCAATAGACAGCTGTTCTCTTTCCTCCCTCTTTCAATCCAGCAATGTATTTATCAGATTTTCAGCTCAGAATCAAGGCCTGATGACGGTCTTCAGTTTACTCACTAGCTTCCATGAGGTCAGTGAAGCTCTGAAGCCAGTTAGCCATATTACTATTTGAATAAATTCTTCTACTGCTCCATAAATACCTATCCTCAGAACTATGGTATCAGCTATTAGTAAACAAATAAAACTATTAACTGAAAGTATGTGCAGATAAAGAGAGAACTCAAGTGTCAAATCATTCAACTTCATAGCTTATCCTCTAAGAACACGGCAGCTGTAAAAAGCTTCTGATAATAAGATCCAAGTAAGACAATATAACATTTTAGTTTCCTCTGTTTCTTCATGTCTAAAAAAGAGGCAATTACTTTATTATATAGGGATGTTTCAGGCAATTACCTTATTAGTGTTCATGAAACAATTTAAGGCACTTGGATGAATGTCACTTTAAAAATGCCAGAAGTACTACTTAAAAACTTTTAAAGTTGATATATACTATATATCAATCCACATCCCTAAATACTGTCAGCATTAATGTTACACAAAGTGCTGTGACATCTCATTTAGTAAACACTCAATATCCCACCGCCCCACAACTCCTTCACCTGAAATATGTACCTTGAGAAATATCCTCTACTGCTCGCCGAATACCTCTATCAAATGCTCTTGCATCAGCAGGACTCTGAAATGTGAGGCCAAACTTTTTGTCATCAATCTTCCAGTGGTAAAAAGTAGGAGTAACTTTGTTGTAAACGAGGTCTTTCTTTAATGTGCATTCCAAGACCACCTTCCAGAAATAAAACAGAATAAAAAGGTATTAATGACCAATGTATCAAATTTGAGAACAAAATGCAGTCTTTGCAAATTACCTAAAAACATACATTGTTAAGAGCAGATAGAACTCTCTGTTTAAATTTCTTCATGTTACAATGAGGTTATTTTAGCTTTGTTTACATTGTGGCCAAATTATTCACTATCAGTTGCTGAGAGGTGGCATAGGTTATTTATACTCTGAGTCAATCTTCCCATTCAAAAATCTCATACCCACAGAAGTACCTCATACCTACAACAAGAGCTTCTGTCAGTACAGACTTAGTAGATGTTCAGCAAATGAAATAGGCCACAACCTCCAAAAAACATTACTGTGTTGATAACATATTTTACTGTATTACTGGCAATTTTATTCATATACTGATTCTGTAAAATTTTTAAGCACTAGACTAACTGCATGCTGCTTTCAGGCCATATCAGTTTTCTCCCAGAAAGGCTACTATACAATAGAAAATAATAAAAGAGAATTGTTTTAAATACTGGAATAAAAAGTAAAATATTTTTAATGTATTACTGCCTGCACCCGGACAAAAATATAGTTAATTTTCAACTATAGCAAAAACAGTAATTTGGAATAATTAACAGAATTATCTGGCTACAAAACTTTTACAGACATACATACACATTCAGTTATGAAGCCAAATTGGTGGCCGGCCACTAGTGATGCTCCCCAGGGCTCAGTACTGGGGCCTGTGCTATTGAACATCTTTATTGCTGATGTGGATGTGGGGATTGAGTGCACCTTCAGTAAATTTTCAAATGACACTAAGTTGGATGGGACTGTCAACCGGGACTGACCTGACCAATAGGCTGAGAACAACTGCATGAGGTCCAACAAGGCAAAGTGCTGGGTCCTGCACTTGGGACACACACAACAACCCCATTCAGTTCTATAGGCTGGGGGAAGAGTGGCTCATGTGTTCAGTCAAAAGAGACTTGGGAGTGCTGATGGACAGGTGAGCCTGAGGACAATATGAGCCAACAGTGTGCACAGGTGGCCAAGAAGGCCAATGGCATCCTGGCCTGTATCAGGAACGGTGTGGCCAGTAGGACTAGGGAAGTCATCTTCTCACAACAACCCCATTCAGTTCTATAGGCTGGGGGAAGAGTGGCTCATGTGTTCAGTCAAAAGAGACTTGGGAGTGCTGATGGACAGGTGAGCCTGAGGACAATATGAGCCAACAGTGTGCACAGGTGGCCAAGAAGGCCAATGGCATCCTGGCCTGTATCAGGAACGGTGTGGCCAGTAGGACTAGGGAAGTCATCTTCTCCCTCTACTCAGCATTGGTGAGGTCACACCTCGAGTACTGTGTTCAGTTTTGGGCCCCTCCATTTGAAAAGGACATTGAAGCACCAGAGCAAGTCAAGCAAAGGGCAACAAGGCTCATGAAAGGTCTGGAAAACATGTCGTATGAGGAATGGCTGAGGGAATTGGGTTTGTTTGGTTTTGAGAAGAGGTGGCTCAGAGGTAACCTCATCACTCTCCACAACTACCTGAAAGGGGCTGTGGAGAGGTGGGGATGGTCTGTTCTGCCATGCCTGCAGTGAGAGGACTAGAGGGAACAGTCCTAAACTGAGCCAGAGGAGATTCAGATTAGATGTTAGCAAAGAAATTTTCACTGTTTGGGTGGTCAAACACTGGAATAGGTTGCCCAGAGAGATGGTGGAGTCACCATCTCTGGAAGTGTTTAACAGGCGTCTGGATCCAACACTGGAGGATATGGTTTAAGATTTATGGGTTACAGCAGAGTGGTAGGCTAGTGGTTGGACTCAATGATCTTAAGAGTTCTACTCCAACCTGGATGATTCTAAGATTCTATGAAGCAAAGTCACAGTCTTGACACAGAATCACAGAATGTTTTGAGTTGAAAGAGACCTTAAAGATCATCTAGTTCCAAGCCCCCTGCAGTGACACCTTTCACTAGACCAGATTGCTCAGAGGTCCATCCAGCCTGGCCTTGAACACTTCCAGGGATGGGACATCCACAACTTCTCTAGGCACCCTGTGCCAGTGCCTCACTACTCTCACAGCAAAGAATTTTTCCCTAATATCTAATCTAAAACCTACCCTCCTTCAGTTTGAAGCCATTCCCCCTTGTTCTGTCACTATAAGCTCTTGTAAATAGTCAGACTCCATCTATTTTGTAGGCTCCCTTCAGGTACTGGAAGGTGGCATCATTTCCCCACTTTAAATTGGCTGGTTATAAAAGTGTATTTGCATATTTATTTTACCAGGAAAAAATACTGGGACATTGAGTGTTTGTTGATTAAAAAAACCCCAATGAAAACAAGAAAGTATGGAAGGAGACGCACTGATCTGCTACTGTAGCATTGGGTAAAATACAGCTCAAAGCAAGACAGCCTGTATTACTCTTTGATGCTGAAAACTTACACTGAGAGGAATGAGGAATTTTAATATTCTATCATTTCAACATTAATGTACTTCTAGAATTGCAATTTTTAGTTTTGTTACATGTGGCTTTTTGAAAGAAAAATACAAATTTCCTTACAGCATGTGGAAGTATTTTAATTATAAACTGAGAAAAAAAACTTACAAATTTAAAAAAATAATTCTGACCGTACATAGGCTGTTCTTACATATTCTTTGTGTTTCTCCTCTCCTTTCCTTGTCTAATTATTACATAGGCAAATAGGGGTTTTTTCCTTGCTCCATGACACCACTAATCATCTCCTCTTGACTGTTACTGCCTTTTACCTGTCTCTAGTAGGATGACATTCTTTCTGCACATATAAACTCTTCCAGTATTAAGTAGGTTTTACAACTCTCAGAATTCCCTACATGGTCAACAATATGTACATAAAACTGCCTACAAGAAAATATAGAAAGGAATATAACTATTTGCTGTAGGTGTGCAGGAAAAAGTGCTGCAGCAAAAAAAAAGTTCTAAGGTGTATTAAATGATCATTCTTTGTTCCTTCAGATGATTTCAAATTTGCTTCCTCTTAAAAAAGGAGTTAATAATGATGATTTCTCACATCACTGCATTTTCTAGGTCTGTGAACACTTCCGGAGGATCTAGACTATATTAAATGCCAACTATTTTCATGCTGTATTTTGTGTGCAGTTTCATCCAAAACATATTGCAAGCCTGATTTTATACCATCTCAATGAACATCTGGTCCTAAAGGAGTTAATCCAGATTACTCTAAACAGAAAATTCATACCGGGTGACAATTTTACCACTGGAGATACATAGCTGGATTACAACTTTACTGAGTAGAAGCTATGATTTTCATACACCCAAACCAAACCAGAAAACTCCCAAACCAACTCTCTCCAATCCAAAAAGCAACCCTTGTTATCACCCACACCCCACCTCCAACCCTGACAACTTTTTAGATGACAAGCAATCATCCTATCCAACACTGTAGTTGTTTTCAACTTAATTTAAGGAAACAAAATTTTGACAGGATGACACTGATTTTTATATCTAAAGCTGCATGAAAACAGACCAGTTAGCACAGTAGATACAAGTGAAAGGGCATTCAAAAGGGAAGTTTGTTGCATCAAAACTGTATATATCATTAGATATAAGAATCCATATAAGCAAGACTTTATGCCTGCCCCACTTGAGAGAAAATTAAAAAACTGTAGGTCAGAATTAGCAGTGGGACACATATTTATAAACACCCAGCCTTCAATAATTTTTGTTGCATCCAGAAATACCAAAAATCCAGTTCAAACAAAAACCATACCAACAATCCTCTAAAGCACTTTTTTTTCTTCCTGAAAGACTCCTATGCTTTGCAGCAACAGCTTATTTTTTCCCCTGTAAAACTTAATTCTGTCAAAGGCTTCTTTATGCTGAAGCATGCAAACAATCACTGGGGCTGGGAAGGAAATATCCCAATTCACACACCTCCAAGACGTGGAAATCGAAACAAAGCTTTTTGCAATACAGATGTATTTCAAAACTCCAATTATTTTTTACTGCACTTTGCTATGGTTCAGAACTCCCCACATCATATGTGAAGATGATATACTTTCCCACATGGTTATCCAAAACCTGCATTCCCAAACCTTTTTAGGCAGATCTTCCCCAAGATGTCCAGTGGTAAGCACAACAAAGACGTGAAAAATTGCAAATAAAGTGACTAAAGCTTAACAAAGTTGCATTTAAAAAAATCTGCAGGTAAAGTCTGAAAGTCTTCTTCATTTGAAGACTTATTATAGGATTTTCATGTCAGTATGAAGCACCCACTTTGGCACGTAATAGAAAATGTTTCAGAGTCATCAGACTCATGCAGAAGAAATCCAGACCCAAATGATCAAGACTTGAATTCTCAGAGCATAAACAGGGCTGTATGCCTACTATTATTCAATTTAAAAAAATCCTTCTAATATCTAGATGTTATTAAGTGTAATAATAATGAGTTCATTGCTACATATAAAAATACTTGTTTGCTAAATGTTTCTTTTTCTACCTCTACAAGCTACAGTCATTCAAGATAATAGAAATTATTTGGCTTATGCAGACAAGATGAATATCTGAAGTCAGAAATGTTCAACTTCAACATTTCAAAACCAAATATTCTTAAAGAAAAATAAAAGGATTATTTAAGGTATTAGCATCATTATCTAGGGCTTGTTTTGGAAACAAGTGAGAAAAAAAGTCTGCATTTGATATAAATTTCTATTTTGATAAAAGACCAAATAATTGAACATTTCTAGATACTGGATACTATTTTACTGGTTTCTAGCTGTACTTTCAACAGCCTACAAGATTACATGTAGATAGCTTCACAGTTTCTCATTTCCTGCCCAGATCTCTGCAATCATGTAAGCATATAGTTTTTGAAACTTGGGAATTCCTTTGCTGCTTTCCTCTACCCTCGGGAGCAAGCAAGACGACCTGAGTATATTCATGATACAGAGCATGTGGCCCCAATGTCAAAGTGACCCTATGGCATAAGAATTATTATATACATAGGTTTTTTTGGTTCAGTTCAAAAAGCAAGATAATGGAAGGGCTGTACTACAGCCCATCAAAGGAATTTTCCCCTCAAATTTTAAAGCCAATTTAAAAAGTAAATAGTTACATTTTTAAACCACAGACTTTTAGAAAAGAATGGTATTTATATTCAGTTTTAGCTTTGTATCTCTTCCTTCATACAATTACCTGTTCTTCAAAAGAAAGATTTTAAACTTTGTCACTCCTGACCCAAAAGACAGTAATAATTTTTTTCTCCTTTGGTGAAAACTTGCATAGCAAAGAGACTAGAGAACAAAATAAAAGACAGAAGTCTATTAGACTTTTCATTCAAGAATGTAAAATTCACCAAAGCCTAAATACCTTTAAGTTTGAGCCTCATGTATGTATGTTTAACACTAGTGCTATTAAAATAGAAGAGAGCTACCATAAACACAGTAAGAAGAGCTGCAGACCTGGCCAGGTTAGGAGGGAGTGCAATTGTTCCAAGCAGACTGGCTGGAGCCAGTGCTAGGAAGGTGAGTACAGTAAAGGAGGAACTGTGTAATTATGTAAAACATCTTCATGAAATACCCACATTCCAACACAGATCTAAACAACCTGAGTGAACCAGCAAGGAGCATTCTCTTTCATAAATTAATTCAATGGTGCCACCACTTTGATGTTGTTCTTGGGTAACTAGGATGCTTTCTGTGAACCTCATGAGCTGTTTTAAATAGCTCTGTACTGCACACAAATTTTGGAAATTATACATGTAATCTGAAGTTGTTTCATAGAAGGGTTTGATAGAAACCTAACTCTCAGGTACATAAACGAGAACCTCCTCCAACAAGCAACTTCAGCATTTTGACATTCAGTCCCAAAGTATTTCATTTACACAGCTGACCTACATACTGACATCTACAGTCCTAATTAAATGCCTGCATAGCCGATAAAATTATGTGGAGAGATCTGGCTCATTGGAATGGAACCACAATGTAGTATCAGAAGCAGCACTTTGAGAAGCAGCAACTAAAGCTTGTTCTTTTTCAGAATCACCATTTAAGAGGCATCTGAAGCTACCTCCATTGAATACATCACCTATAGACTTCAAGTTCCTTTAGATAAAATTCCACCTTTTTACTGATGCATACGTTAAACAGTTATACTGGCATTATGATTCCCATGAATCTTAGGCAAAAGCCATAGATCTGAATTCCATTTGCTCTCTAACATGAGACATTTCAAAACCTGTTCATCCCCATGTCCCAGAAGAGTGTTCCAAGTTCCATCCTCTACATTTTCCAGGATAATGGAATTTCCGTACCTTTTCTGAAAGTTAACTCAGTTCACAAAAGAAAAGACTTACTGGACAGAGGAAATCAAAACATGACCTAGCTGGAAAGGTATTTTAACAGTGTGTAGTGTGACTTGAGGGGAGGGGGGCACTTCATTTGTAAAGATGATTTTCTTTTTCAATCCATAGAAGTATCTTCAGAAACAGCTGTGTGTACTTTGCAAAAAAGTGAGTGTACTGGAAACCATGGTCCAGGTGACTGAGCTGTAATGACTTGTAGATATTACATTAGAGTCAACATTGCTAAAGACACATATGCTCAAAGTCTGAATAACTGAAATGTTTGAAAGTGTTTAGGAAGTTATTTTTTGAATAGTTACTTTCCCTTTGCAAATACAATGGCAGAGCAACCAACTAAACAGCATACTACTAATTTCAAAGACTATTCAGGTATCCAGGTTTACACAGCAAGAGCATTCTAAAATGAGATTAGAGTGATGCTGGAACACAGAACCAGCAGATTCAGTCGTTAGCTGATCCCTGTCCAACAGAATTTCTTTTCTAGTCCTTGCTACCTACCATCCTGCT